TGATTGGTACAAAATTCCTTGCATGTGGTTTCCTAACTAGTCACTAAAATTTATATCCTAATTTCAATGCTAAATTGAGATTATAGCACTCGAAACTTCTAAGAAAAAGCATAGAAAATGACAAATTAAGTCACTCGTTCTTGCCGACTGCCGTTCCTTTGAAAATGGACATTTTCGTTAACCGTGGTTGCGTAGCACTGTCAAACTTCAACGAACGTAACGGACCAAATCCAGGCTGAACAAGAACTGGTCATAATTATCAAACCTTCGTCCAATTCTGACAGGTTACTATTAGGGGAAACGAGGTGTTGTAACTTACAGTGACTTCAACGTTGGCACTTTCAGCAGTAGGAAAGCAGAAAGAAAGGCCTCTCCAGCTCTTTACACATATTTTCTGCTTGTCATCGTATGCTTAAAAACGAATGAATCAAGAGAGTCATTACGATGAAAAAACATAAGTCTCTGAAGAATAGTAACATTTTGGTTAATACATTCTTTTTTTATACAAGATTGTAGCAGAAAAGGTACAACAATATGGATATAACATGCAAAAGCAAATCAAGATAACTGAAATTATCCAACGTAAATTCTCTTTAAGAAAAATCGGCAAATTTGCTCGATCTGGAAAAATATATTGGAGTAAATAGAACAAACCTCCTGGATGCGTAGAGCCAAAGAACTCGTCAACTTTATCCATGCTGACTTCCGCGCCAGGTTCGGAGAAAACCTTCTCTCTTAAACAAAAAATTCCAAAGATTAGACAGGGAAATAGGGAAGAATTATACAAAGGTGATCAGCAATGAATTTTTGTAACTTACTTGTACTTGAGCACAATTTGAGAAAGGTTGTCGACTTCAATTAGCTAAAGAATATAATTCGATGTTAAATGCTTTTAAGACAGCAGCAAACGAAGCTTACCCTCAGAAGCTGGGTTACTGGATGAAACAACAGCCTAATCCCGTCGTTGCTTAAATACACGCAAATATCTCGACCAAGAGGATCCTTAAAGCTTTGATAGAGTCAAGATAATAACTGCAATAGACCCGTACACTATAAATGGCAATGGATGGTACGCCGACGTACCTTTCTCGAGTACATTAGCTCGATATTTGACAAGATTCTAGCGTTTTGTTGAATGAGTGTTAGTACCTTAA